CTGTGCAAGTCACTGAACTGAGTGGGCAGGCCTAAGCTAGGTCACCTGGCTATGACCAAGATGGCAGCCCCAGGTTAGCCCATGTGGTTGAGATGGCGAGCCCGTAAGCACATTCTCAATTGCCAGAAAAGTTTCAAACCTCATTCATGTGGAAAAATGAAAACCAGCAAACACACAAAAAACTCTCAGAGCATCTCAAGCAGACATTGCCAACCTAGAAGAAGCACAGTCAGAGACAGAGCAAACAGAACAGTGAGGGACATTCCCAGGTGAAAGAAAGTTCCCACTGGGAGGCAGAACTCCGCTCATTTACCTACTCGCTGGCAGTAACCGAAAGATCCCGTAAAAATGTATTCCCCGTGGACAAGGCCAAAAAATGGCACAGATTGCCCTGTCTGAGAGTGAAAGACCCCCGCCCTTAGCTTTTTCTTTTAAGGTTGCCTCCTCCTCCGGTCGGCAGCTGGCAGAGCGCGTGGGGAATACATCCTCCCCTGCACTCCCTGACCCTTGATCCCCACAGCTGCCGGCACTTCCCCGCTGCCGCGCAAGGCCGGCCCCCCCGCCGGATCGCTCCGTCCCAAGGTCAGCCATCTGGACGCGGCAAAAGATAAAGGCCGTTTCGCCTGACTATTACAGTGCCTTTTTCCCCTATAAAAGGACTCCCCTTCCGGGGCTCGGGGCTTAGCCTAACAAAAGCTAAGTCCCCGGGTACCAGCGCTACTAATAAAGCCTCTTGCTTTTGCATCCAAAGTTCGTGGTTTCGCTGATTCCTGGGTGCGGGTCTCCTTCTACGAAAGTACCGCTTCGCGGGTCTTTCAAGAGCACCGGCCCGAAACCGAAAAATGGACCCAGAGTGAACAGTGCTGTGTCTGCCCCATGGAAAAGGTTCTGGGTATCTTACCGGATTGTAGCAAATAGGCGGTTCAGTGAGTTCCAGAAATACTTAGTTGGAAAAGCCGCAAGTTGAGTTCCGGCATCTCAGGCTGCTGCAGCAGGAGGGAGTACCAGGAAAAGCAAAGATGGAAGTGGGCTATGAGTTCAGATTTTAGGATCTCTGAGACTTCCCATGCTCCTGGCAGGAAAAGTTACAAAGAAAGACTATCCCACCAGCTAGCTTTGGGAGAGGGTCTACGGAGAGAGCCTAAA